TGATATGAATAACTTAGAATCATTACAATTAACAATATTATTAGATTATTTGCAACTTTTGCTTACAAACCTGATGAATTATGACTAATTTGAATCGCCGTGTCTTTAAGCTGCTCTCTGAGTCGATAAATACGTCGAGCAATGTCCACCTTCAGTATTGAAGGCTTTAGTGTTGAGCTTTAATTTGCCTCGTAATTTCCTGACATTCTTAGTGTCCTTTGCATTGCAGGTCTAATCTGAATAGAACCGTAAGATCTTGTTTGTATGTCATCCTGAAGATGAACACTCTCAGATTAGCAAGTGGATTCTGATTTAGTTTAAAGACAATTGAAGATTCTGATAGTTTATCTTTTTTTTCTCTTCATCTATCCTTCACTTTATAATCCTGCGATCATTAACTTCCATGGTTTAGGTCAGGCTTTCCCTGAGGATTAAGTGCACTTTTTCCTTTTAGTTGAGACTTTGTGTGTTTCATGGGTCATGAAAACTGAAAAAATCCCTCAGGTACATGTGGGAAAGTTCCCTTGTGAGTTCATTTGTGCAATTCCATTGTGCAAACATTTCCCTGGTCACCAGTTTTCGAGAAAATCGAGTTCAAAGTTGAATGATCTTCGATCTCCTCACACACAGTTGTGGAACTAGATTTTTCATGAAACTCATTTTCCTGATGTAATTTTTGATGGTCAACCAGAAAATTTACTCACTGTAAGTTTACACATTTGCAACATTTTTGAAGTTACTCCATCTCTCAGAATAATTAATCATTTTTCTTTCTTTGCTCTTCCTCTTGTAAATTTTTCACAACAATAAAAAAATCAAGATGAAAATAGGAAAAAAGAGAAAGAAAGAAGAATGAAATTGACTTTTTTCAATCACTTTTTTACCGTATTGTCCACCACCCAAATCTAACACATCCACTATTCATCGCCATCATATCTATCATATCCGAGAAGTGGTGAACAATTTGGTGGATTTGGGTGATGATAAATATTGAAAAAATGTGGCGGATAAAGTGGTGGACAATTTTGTTGAGAAAAATCTCTTCAAAAAGTGATGATGTTTGATTTGGTTGATTTGATGGATGTGTTAGATTAGATGGTGGACAATACGGTGAAAAAGTGATTGAAAAAGTGGTGGATAAAAGCCTTTTAAAAGTGGTTGATGTGGTGGAAAAAATGTGGTCCCAAGAATATTATTATTAATTATGAGATGAACTTCAAAAATATCGAAAATGTATAAACTTACAGCGTTTCTATGAATGAAATTTTCTGTTTCTGCTTAACAGGTCCCTTCGATTTTGGTTAAATCAGCTGCTTTGAGTATTGGTAATAACTAGCTGAAACTTATTTTTCAATGACAAAATGAAAGGTGAGTATCAGAACTTTTTCAATCTATTGATAGTTTTCTGACATGCCATAACTTATAACTTAACTTAATCTAACCGCACCTAACCTAACTGAATCAGATGAACTTAAACCTAAACCCAACCTAAACCTATGGATGAATCTAATCGACATGTCAAAGTTTTTTAGTATAAGTTTGAAAGCTCTCACTAAATCATTCAATCGGTATTAGTTCTACTCGAAACCACGGCATTCCGCATCATGCGGTAAAAACATGAAAAATGGAAATATTGAACAATTAGACAATAATATAAAGACGACGAAGATTTCGCAATATCTGGTGGGCTATAATTCAGTTTGACCAGTCCGAAGTTCTCACTAAATCATTCAATCGGTAGTAATGACGGAAGTGGTAAATTAATGTGGAAAAATGTCTTTTCCTATGGGAGATGTTAAGGAACTGCCAGTAGGTTTTCAACTAAGAATTAGCTGATTACTATTTTTTTATGAAGTTATTTTGAAATAAAATAATTTATTTGATCAATCAGCTTGATAATTGTCCATCACTAGTAAAAATAATTCAACTTGTAAACTCGTCAACGCAAGTTTCATCAACATAGTTATTCGATTTAGTATGCTGCCACCACTGTGATTGACATCCAACTAACACTTGCTAGTAGATTCTTGGCTAATCCATGCTAGTATATTTTCGAAGTGTTTAACTTTAATTATAAAATTATCTTTCAATTAATTTAAAGTGAACCAAGAATTTATTATTTGTGGCTTAAGCTCCAACAAAAATCGATATGTTTATTGATGATTTACCTGATGATTGCTTGCTAGCAATATTCTGCCTAATCAACACCATAGATGATCTTCTGATATTTGTTGAAGGTAAGTGTTGAAATTTTTTTTTATTTTATCTATTTTACAATATTTACAGCCTTTTGTAAATTATTTCATTCACTTGTTATTATATTCTGTCCCTTTTATTGAGCGTTATCCGAATAACATTCCGATTTTTTGCTTTTTCAACAGTTTGTCCAAGGTGGAGTCGCCTAGTCTGCCAACGGTTACGTAAAGTCAAATATTTGAGTGGTAAGTGACAAGTAAACCATCTATTTTCATGTGCTTTAATAATTTAATAATCATTCTGATCAATTTAGATGGCTATCCTGATAGAGCAATTTATCCAAAAAATACGATCTTTTATAATCAGACGAATTTTTTGTATAAAATCCAACTTTCCAAATTCCTGCCAAATCTCAGGGTAAGTAAAACCATTCACTTAGTCGCGAACATGTTTTTAATTTGTTTCATTTCTTGTTTGTTATTTCATCTTCAGATTCTTGATATTCCCGTCCTAATTTTTGACCGGAGCTATGGAAAACGTTTTGACCTGGAGAAGCTCAATTCGACCAAAGGATTAATATATTTATTGGATGGCCATAAATTATCTTATATTGACAAGTGCTTTGAAATGGTTTCGTCTCCACGTTTAGCACACTATTTCTTGAACTCTCATTATGGGTCTAAATTGAAGCAGCTTCACCTTACGAATTGTAACTTGGAAGCCTTTTCAAGTTGCGCCAAGTATTTACCTAATCTTTTAAGATTGCATCTAGAAGATCAAGAGTGTATGAAAACAACCCATCCACGCGTTTATTTTCATTATCAATATATTAATATATTCGCACGTTTTTCTTCTCATATAACAGTTTGGCTTGATGATGTCTCACGTTATAAAGGACCAATTCTGGAAAAGGTTGAAATTTTCGAATGTAGTGTAACATCATTTGAGGATTCTAACCCTTATCCTGGTTTCGACATGGCAGACTATTTGCCATCTCTCAAAAGTGCTTTTCATTATGTAGATCGAAGCTCAGTTTTCGTCAATCAAGAGATAAAAAATTATTACATGGAAGATTTGGTTTTGCAAAATGTGAGTTATTAATATAAGTTCAATATTTAAAAATTATACCTAATCATCCATTTAAAAATTATCTTCTAGATGTATGCCTGCTCTCCGAATTGGAACACGATCAAAGGAATACTGAGAAAATATCCCAATTTGAAACATTTGGCTATTAGAAGTAACATTGAGTCTATTATCGAAGATGCACATATTCCAGAGATAATTCGGATGTTGCCGCAAATTACTATTATTGATGTAAGAAACTCCAAAAAGATTACTGACAAAACTATCAGGTTTATTGATGAACATAATAAACGGAATAAGCCGATCTCATTCTACTACAAAACTGAACAACGTTTAGAGATAGACTGGCCTCAGTTTTCAGCAGAGCGCAAGAAGATATGTCAAGGGCTAGATTTCATGAAAAATTGTTTCCTGAAACCATTTGATCATTTACCATGCCTGATGGATCCTCTAGACGACAAATAAAATTAACCGTAATTTCTCATCCAATCTACTACTTCCAAGATGTGAAATTAGACATATTTTTGCGTTATAATTTGTTTTTTTTGTTTCTAACTTTCCTTACTCATTATCGATATCGATCAAAAGGATTGGCGATGAATCGAAATCTAAGTTTAAAATCAATTCAACTAAACTTACAAAAGCCATATGGTAAAACTTATGTAACCAATAAGTTAATAAATTTCATTTCATTTTTTTCTTATTTCAAACCTTGACTGGAATGAACATTTAATTTGTTGATCTTATTTGTTGTGCTGTGTTTGTCTCTATTGTATAAAGCTCATGAGAGTTTGTTTTGGAAACATTATCCTCGACTTTATCATCAGAGTCTTTAACTCTAAGGCTAAGGAAGAAACAAGCTGTTCCAATAGTGCAAGTAATACTCAACATGATACAATGAAAATGGATACCAAAGGAACCAGAGCATAGATACATCAATCCCATCGCCAAGGCTTGAAGACTCAAATAAATGGCAAATGGACCCGTACTATCTTCGGCATAAAATTTGATTATATATCGGAAGATTTGTGTTTCGAAGCATCCATCAATAAATCCTAGTGAAAATGCACAAATCAAAGCCAACGGCAAACTGTAAAAAAGATAAATCCATTTGATTTAAATTATGGAATATCAACATCAAGATTCGATTAGATTCAGGTTGTCAACGGTTATAAAATAATCCACTTTCAGTTTAAGCTGACGAGTTAATATCAAATGGTAACACATCATACTGAATGTCTGGGGATAGGTAAGAGCGAAATCTTCGGTGACAATGATTCTAGACGCTTATTCAATAACATTAACAAACCTCGAATGTATAACTGCAAGTTCATCTGTGTCTCCAAGCGTTGCTGTATCGGGAATATTCAGATAGATGCATGTGAAAGTCACTAATGACAGCACATAAGCAATTATCAAAATAAACTCTGGCTTTTTGTGTTTTCTTGTTAATATCAATAAAAGTCCAGCACAAACTTGACCCAGTCCTAAATGATAGACACAATTGAAAAAATTGTTAACATTTTAAATATGTTCAGCATAAAAATAATTACCAATTAAGGTTCCAGTTTCTCCAGCATGCTGTTTCCTGTGGCTCCCAAATGCTTTAGTAAATCCAACTGATGTCCCATAAAGAGTGGCAAAAAAACATGTCTCCAAACCTGAATTGAGTGTAATGAGAGCATGTTAATAGAACAATCAACGAGTTGAATCATTATTCATTGTATATGTAACTATAAACTAGGCAACAAACAATGCAAACATCGTACCGCATAACGAAAAAATGCTTATCAAATGTGCAAATAAAGCCTATTTTGCCTCAACTGTTAACTTAAAAAGGTAAATATTTATTTTAAAATATAATAATATATTATATTTATTATCATTATAATTATAATTATACTTTACCAGTGTAAGCAGATGTGATTGCCAATAAAGCAAGTCTCTTTGTGGCCAATTGTTTAACCGATTTTACTATTGAAATCATGAAAAGTTGATGAAATTAAATGTTATTGCACAAAAAAATTTACTACAAGCATTCAACTCACCAAACATTTTCACAGGTTTTTCAGATATTTCTTTGGATGGCGTTTTCAGGAAAAAGGACAAAAAAATACCGACTAAACCGAAGCCAATTAAACATGAGTACAAAACAGATCGAGTGGTTTTTTCAATATGGTCAGTGTTTTGAAATAAAAAGGCAACAACAACGTTCCCCACAGCAGTGCCGCACTGCAAGAATGCCCAAAATATGCCAGTATCTCGAGTGATACTATTGTCATCACTGATTGTAGACACATATGAACCCTGTCCATTCCACATGACTTTGCCAAGAATCAAAGAATAAATGGGTGAATATTGAAAAAAATGTTGGTTGTAAATAATTGGCAACTTGAAAGTTATATGATTGGGATTTCTCATGCTTCTCTAACCACCTAATCATCTTGATATTTCCGAATCAGCTGAGTTTCAGTTCGTACGTGTCATAAGCATCAATTTTATGTTAATCTTATTCTTAAGCTTATCGACAGCAGACCATCTTGAACAGATTAACCGATAACATAAAATCTCGTGGATGTAAATCCAGCTAATCTGTTGATGGATCATCTATTAATAATTAACCAGTATTGTATCATTCGCACTTTTTGTGTTAAATGTTCAATGGAAATGGTACTTGGTTTGGTGCATAAGAGTAAAATTGATTCTCAACTTACCTGATGTTGCTAAACCTGAAAGGATTGTTGAAAAGTACAAGCCATACTTAAATGGGAACATGAAAGTTATTAGTGAAAGACTGGAAATGAAGAAAGGTGAATCGATTTCAATAAGATATCAATAATAGATAATGTGATTAGGAATTGAATTTATATAAATGTCTTACTTGAAACCAAATGCACCCAGAGCGATTGCCCGTTTTGAATTAATGTATGAGATCAATGAAGGTGTCAACCAAAGTGTTATGCCATTGGCCCAATAAAGTATCGCTAAGCTTACATAACCGCTCCATTTGAATCCATCCCAAGCATCCTTATAATCGTCATTAATTGAGTCCGCAACAAGTTGCTGAATGATAAAAGATGATTGAACAAAGAGATAATATCATGAATAAATATCAATGTTGTAAAAGTCAAAATCAAGTTAAAATATAAAGATCAATTAATGAATTGACGCCAAGCAAGCTTATCATTGAAGAAACGTGGATTAACCCATTTTCAGTGTGACTTTATTATCTAAAATCAATCAAATCGATAACTATACAGAATTAAATCTCACTAATTCGGAGAAAATTGATCGTAAACAAATCATTGAAAGCCACGTATTTGCAACTTTCATTCATACTGAATGTACAACGATGAGCCACGTGTACCTAAACAAGAAACAAATTTAATTGTAATAGTAACAATTTATGCTGAGAAGAACTTTGTTGAGTTAGTTAATCTTAAGATTCTGTATTGATTGAAATTGCATTTGATTTCTGTTATTTTGCATCGGATTTGGAAAATACTATCTCAACAAACGCTATAGTAATGTTTCGGCTCGATTTATAAGAGAATGGCAGTTTTCTCGTCGTTTGATTCTCATTTTTCAAATCTGAGTCATTTGTATTCTTGAATTTATTAAAAGTCCGTTCAAATAACATTGAAAAATTTCGTGAAACAAATGAAGTCTGCCCTGAACGTTGACAATTTTACTGTAACTTTTGGTCATTTGGAAATTGGTTTTTGTTCTGTTAAAATTCTGTGTCTCTACAGTCTGTAGCTTTTTAAATGATGAAAGTTGGTTCTATCCAATCGAGATTGTAAGATGAAAATCTTTCATAACTTTTGTCACTTGAAGGGTGACCTGTTAGTAAAGTCCTCATGAAGATTCACCCATTTCAGTGAATTAGGCATATTCATAGAAAGATAAATGGTACACCATTTTGATTCGCAAAACATGTTATTCAATTTGATACGTAACTCAGCATAATTAAATTGACCATCTTTTCTGGACTTTAGCTCTGGGAAATGAGCTCCTTTTTAAAAAAGTTTGCTAACCTCATGTTAAAAATACATAGAGAAATTGAGATGAGATGAAAAGCTGAAAAGCTCGAAATTGTAGATAAGGAATATTTTCCTTTACCGACTGCAAAATATCAATTTTCAGTCTTGTTTTTATTTGAATTTTCTAAAAAAATCAATTCATGTAAGGTATTGCAATTTATCATCAAAATTGAGACTTTACTACCGATTAGTTGTCAACTTTAATCACCGATTTGCAAACAAAATATGAATTAACACATTTGCTTTATCAGAATATATGATTTTATTGAATAATTTATGAGCGCGAAAAAAACATTGATTACAGTTTCACATTACTTATTGATAGGGGCTTAAATAAAGGTAAATCACCTTTTGAAAAACGCTCACAGTCCAAGATTCAAGACTTTTCACTAAATTCGGTGATTTTTATAAAGCAAATATCCAAATCCATTTTGAGGTCAAATTAGCGACTGATCGATAATTACTTGACTGTTTAAAACTATTGAGAGATTAGTTTGAAAACAAAAATATAACCTGAATTTGTGTTTGACAAATATCATTTCACTTTTTGACAAGCTCTCTATATTTTTAGCTTGGGTTGTTCAATGCGAATTGGTTGTATTAGCCTAACAGGTTGTATCATCATCATGTACTGAGCTTATATTTCCAAAACATGATGAAATCTTTCAAGATCTTTGACAAAAGTCATTGAAAATTCATAAACAATTTGATACCTCAAGGTTTCTTTGTGTTTTCTGATAAATGTTTCTGCTAAATCAAGCCTTCAGTTAGGTAAGATGGAATCTTATGACTAAAAGCTCAATCGTTCTGTCAGCATAATCAAGTTTTAATTTAAATTTCAATAACATTCAAACTCAATTTTTAAATTTACCGCAATTTATTTGGAAAAGTTTTGTTCATTGCAACAATTTAGGCAAAATTAATGGTTCAAGAAGCATTGTCAATAAACAAAATAAGCTCATATTAATGAATTTGCATAAAACATAAAATTAAATTAATTACCTGAATGTTATTGGCTGTGAAAAATGGCACAGAAATGAAAAAAAATATTGCACTGAAAGACAGTATTGGTTTTAGTGGAGTTGATTTGGAAGATTCACTCATTTTGAATTGTTTACTTTCGATTGATTATTAATTATGAAGATTTCAGACGTTATGTCTTCATGTAAATATATATAAATGAACACAATATACAGGTACAAAGAAAGTGGACTCAGAAAAAAGATCAACTGATGTTTTATCATCAATGTTTTTGTCTCGAAAGGAATCGAGAATTATTTAGGGGTTAATCAGATTAAGGTAGCGATAGGATTACTGTTAATACAAACGTATTAAGAGATATCGGAAAAAATGATTTAAAAAAACGATGTTCAATCCAGTTGATTATCATTGTTAACCAAAGTAAAAAATTTCTTGTAAACTTGATTATCTTATTGAAGGTGAAACGATGTGAAATGATGTGAAATGAAATGATTACTGGAACCGAGTAACTTATTTGTGTACATAGCAGCGTAAATATGATTTCAACGTAATATAAATGTTAAACCAGTATTCATTCAAGGTTGATTGTGTCCATTAACATTGGAAGCTCATTGAAATGTTTAAAGAAACAATATTTCATGAAATCAAAACCTTCAACCAATCGATTAGTGCGTTGCGCTGGTGGGATCTCTGGTACATCAGCTGTTTCTCCGCAAGAAAAGTGAAACTCGATTGTTCTGCCATGATTTTTACAATAAGATTGAACAATCTTTTCTGAGCTTCTAGTTATACCAGGCGATCGACGTAAATCAAGAATTACCAAATGAGGCAGCAATTCCATCAAATCGACTAAATTGGCATCTACAATGTTTGAGTAATTCCGGATTGCAAGATGTTTCAGCTTTGGATACTTTGATAGAAAATTTCTTAAAGATTCAAAACTCATAGAGCTTTCACCCTACAATAGAAAATAAAAAGAAATAAAAATTAGATTGAATCATTGCTCATTTTATATGTAACTTGAAAATTACCAGAATCTATTATCAAATATAAAATAAAAACTAAAAATTACTTACGGAGTATTCAATGACCAAATCTCTTAGTGAACGATTTATTTTATTTGTATTAGGTGTTTGATTTTTAGATATATCGTAAAGGTGGACTGATTTCAATGAAGGGCAAAAGTCGAGTAATCGATAACCAGCGAAAACATCTAGTCTACGACAGTGTGGAGCCCACAAGAACGATTTGAATTCCAGAATCTCAAGATTTTTTAAAATCGGACCTTCATAGAAATGTAGATCATCTGTCAATGAAGAAATTCAATCAATTAAAATTAAATGTTGTATCTTTGTTGTTTTATGTCCACAAATTACTTGCCTCCAATATTGGAAAAATGTAACCTCACTAGATTATCTAGATTCATGTATGCTAAATCATTAATTTGGGCACTTTCAACGAACAATTGTTTCACTTTTGAACTAAAACGAGCAAAACTTTGATACCAAGTTACACCCGGATGAATTATTGCAACCATTTCAGGAGTCTCACAATAACTGGCCAAACTAGGCACTATCGCTAGTGAATAAAATATTAGGCCTTTCAGTTTCTTAGCTCTACCAATAATTTCATACGCTTGATGGTACGTTTTCAAAGTAAACCCTTTTTGGAATAACAAATCAAGCACCTGTAAATAGATTATGAAAATGATCATATTAATATGTGAATGGATAGATGTAAGATAAATTGATAATTGAGAAAGATTAGCATATTTAATATTAACTCACCCTAAGATTAGGAATAAATTGCAAGAAACTTGGACTCGCTAAAAACTTGCCTTCACCAATGTAAACAGTAGCTGGTGAAGAATGGCCACTTTCATTGCCTTAAATAAAGTATCCGTTAGTTGCTAGTTTGAAATTGTCTACTTGCTTGATTGATTGACTTACCAAAAATATACTTGACTTTGCTAAGTCTGTAAATGATCAATTCTTCCCATTTGTGACAAACTTAAAAAAATATTGCAGAGTAGAGTTCAAAATTGTTAAAATAAAATGATTAAAAACTAGAAAGTTTGAAAATGTATTCAAATGTGGCGCTTTGCAGCATCTATGTTTAGATTGTTAATGACAACTGGCAGACCACACAATGAAACTTGATTACAATTTACAAAGGTAGGATCATCTCATCTTCACAAACGTTTAATTTATTGACGAAATCTCCCATCGACAATAATAAACGTCGATCTGTATTGGATACAGAACCAATTCAAGGCTTTCCCATTCAATTTTATTTATTAATAACAAAGGCTTACCTTTAGTTAAACTGATCAATTCATCCAACGTTGTAATCCGTTCGAAAATGGCCAGTAAACATTCAGGTGGAAGGTCATCTAACTGCATCTTACCAATGATGATTTGTTATTAATTCACAGAATTAATTGTTCGTCTATTCAGAGTTAGGAATGGATTGATCCAAAAGATTAATTAAAATTGAATTCAACCAAATTGCGTTTCTATTCATTGGAGAGACATCTATTGATATGTAATCAATGTGTTAACACAAACATCAATTATGGTAACATTGTTTGATAATTCATGTTTTAGCAAAAGTTAAGGTAATTTACCTAGCTCACTCCTGCTTCCTACATTACCGATTTTTGTTTTAGTGATTCAAAAAATAACATCAACTAATTCCTAGCTTATACGTGAATGTCCATCTTGTACTGAAGAGTATGAAATTATCTGTGTATCGGATAGTATCTCATATAAAGTAGAAATGAATGGTAAATTGAGAGGAGAAAGCTGGTTGTTACTAAAACGACACAATTAACGCATTTATCACATTTATGAACAGATTGACGCAAATGGGCGAAGTTGATTTCTTTCAAGTTTAAACTCTGTTAGTTTGTAAGATCAGAAAACCGTGTCCATTTGAGTTACTTAAAAGTTTCTCTGGTCAATAGTTTTCGAAAGAAGCGAGTTCAAAGTTTAAACTTCGATCACTTTTTGTACAACTGTGCGACCAGATTTGTTTTCTGATAAATGGTTCTGTAAAATCAAGCCTCCAGTTAGGTAAGATGGAATCTTATGACTAAAAGCTCAATCGTTCTGTCAGCATAATCAAGTTTTAATTTAAATTTCAATAACATTCAAACTCAATTTTTAACAAGACTTGATTTAACAGGTTCGAGCCTTTGTCAGCACTCTTTGCATTTCTTTTGCCACTTCAACCAGTAAATTGGTTTGTTTATCAAGATTTGGTTTATATGAGTTTGTTTTGTTGAATAAATTGCTTCTCGTGCATTTAAAACCCAGAAATCATGACCCAAATGCGATTATGAAAAGATGATAATGTCAATTGGATTATTAATTATTAAAGGATTAAATTGGTCTGATGAATGATAATTATAAGTGATGCCTTTCTCGAAATATCGAGGTTCAAAGTTTTTAGACTAATGGCCAAAATCAAGAAACCCTTTATTAACTTGGGAAAAGTACATTTGTATTTGATCCATGATATGTGCAAACAATTTTAATAAACCAATAATAAGTTTCCTATCTCTAACTCTTACGATCCCTCGTTTCGTTCGGTTTAACTAAAAATCGATCTTATCTGTTTTAAAGGAAACGGGAAATTTTATGTCTAAAAATAAGTACGTCTTCTTGTACATCATAAAAGTTACATCAGCAATATAAGTTTCATGAAAATCTGGTCTCACAGTTGTGCAAAAGGTGATCGAAGTTTAAACTTTGAACTCGCTTCTCTCGAAAACAATTGATCAGAGAAACTATTAAGTCACTCAAATGGACACGGTTTTCTGGTCTTACAAACTAACAGAGTTTAAACTTGAAAGAAAGTGATTTCACCCGCTTTTGCCCATTTTCCTTAAACAGTTGTGTCAATTTGTGCAAAAATGTTACAATTATGTTGGTTATGTCTTTTTAGTAAATGTTAAACTAGTATTCATTCATTGATTGTGTCCATTAACATTGGAAGCTCATGGAAATGTTTAAAGAAACAATGTTTCATGAAGTCAAAACCTTCAACCAATCGATTAGTGCGTTGCGGTGGTGGGATCTCTGGTATAGCAGCTGTTTCTCCGCAAGAAAAGTGAAACTCGATTGTTCTGCCATGACTTTTACAATAAGATTGAACAATCTTTTCTGAGCTTTCAGTTATTCCAGGCGATCGACGTAAATCAAGAATTACCAAATGTGGCAGCAACCTCATCAAATCGATTAAATTGGCGTCTCCAATGTTTGAATAATTCCGGATTGCAAGATGTTTCAGCTTTGCGTACTTTGATAGGAAATTTCTTAAAGAATCAAAACTCATAGAGCTTTCACCCTACAATAGAAAATAAAATGAAATAAAAATTAGTTTGAATCATTTTGTTCATTTTACTTGTAACTTGAAAATTACCCGAATCCATGAAATTAAAGCTAAAAATTACTTACGGCGTATTCAATTACCAAATCTCTCAATAAAAGGTTTATTTTATTTGTATTATTTGCTTCATTTACAGAAATATCGTAAAGATGGACCGATTTCAATGAAGGGCAAAAGTCGAGTAAACTATAGCCAACAAAATAATCATCCCTAAGACAGTCTGAACCAAACCAATAACTCGATTCGTATTCCAGTATCTCTACGTTTTTCAAAACCAGATCTTCATAGAAATGTAGACCATCTGTCAATGAAGAAATTTTATGAAATTAAAATTAAATGTTGTATCTTTGTTGTTTTTAGTCCACAAATTACTTGCCTCCAATAGTGGAAAAATGTAACCTCACTAGATTATCTAGATTCATGCATGCTAAATGATTAATTGGAGCACTTTCAACGAACAATTGTTTCACTTTTGAACTAAAACGAGCAAATTTTTTATACCAAGTTGCAATCGGATCAAATATTGCAACCATTTCAGGCGTCTCCCAATAACTGGCCAGATCAGGCACTACAATTGAATAAAATATGAGACCTTTCAGTTTCTTAGATTTATCAATAATTTCGTGCGCTTGATTATACGTTCTCAAACTAAATGCATCTTGGAATAACAAATCAAGTACCTGAAATAGATTATGAAAATGATAATATTAATATGTGAATGTATAGATGTAAGATAAATTGAAAATTGAGAAAGATTAGCATATTTAATATTAACTCACCCTAAGATTAGGAACATATTGAAGAATACTGTGACTCTCTAAAAACTTGGCTTCACCAATGTGGACAGTAGCTGGTGAAGAATGGCCACTTTCATTGCCTTAAATAAAGTATCCGTTAGTTGCTAGTTTGAAATTGTCTACTTGCTTGATCGATTGACTTACCAAAAATATACTTGACTTTGCTAAGTCTGTAAATGATCAATTCTTCCCATTTGCGACAAACTTAAAAAAATATTGCAGAGTAGAGTTCAAAATTGTTAAAATAAAATGATTAAAAACTAGAAAGTTTGAAAATGTATTCAAATGTGGCGCTTTGCAGCATCTATGTTTAAATTGTTAATGACAACTGGCAGAGACAATGAAACTTTATTACAATCTACAGTAGGGTCTCTATTAAAATGGCGGTGATCCACCTGGTACGATTTGATTCGGGAAATTTCTTGATAAATCCATTGAGTTTAGCCAATAATCCAATGTTACTATCTGTTGGACGCAATGGTGGCGTATCCTGGATCCA